GGTTTTGCGGAGGGGCCCGGAGCCAGCGCCGGCGCCAGCGCGGAGGGAAGGCACAGGAAGCGGCAGGCTCCAGCTTGCAAAGCCCATTCTCATTCTAATGCCCTTCTCTGCCTCGGAGAGAGCCCTGCCTGCTGCAGCCCGCGGCGTCTCTAGCCTCTGCCGCCACATCAAAGCAGAGCGGCCGATACCTGCAGCACTTCACACTGCCTAGTTACAACCACAACTCCTGACCAGTCACCAGCGGAAGCCCACTCAAGCGCTCTATGTTTTACCATAATTTTAGTGAATTCTGCAAGTCCAGGTAATTGGTGTCGCACCTTCGAAACCACGCGGGACTCCCTGGGTGGTCTGCAAGCAGCTCTTCTGTCTCCTTTACAGCTTATTTCAAAAAGCCAGGGGAAGCAGTAAACCCACACTCCTGCAGGGTTCACAGGTAGCAATCTTACCGCTGACTTCTGCCTGACACCCGTTTAGTGTTCACAGCTGCCATGAGGGCTCGCTGAAAACAGTGTAGCTATAACGCTTCGCAGTCACTAAGTTTTTCCATCTCCTTCCTACCCAGGTCAGTCTGCTAACCAGCTTAACAAGGCAGCTGGAAACACAGCCACTAAATCACTGCCTCGCGGAATCAAGCTCCATTTCTTTGGCAGATCAAGCACAACTTTCCCTGTATCCCTCAGCTACTACATAGTAGGTGAGCAGCTACAGAAAGTCTGCAGCTACAAAAAGTTTGCAACCTGTGCTATAAATCAGCAAGGAAGAACACTCTTCATAGTATTTTTTTTTTCCCAACGTACCTATTCCAGACACTGAACACATTTCTTGGATGTAATATCCCACCAAGGACTGCCAAGATATCCACCAACCGCTTCTGAAGTGGCTGCTACTCCACGCTAGCAAGAACAGTTCACAGATGCTTGGAACGTACCAGAAATCAAATTATGCAATCCTATTTTAATCAAAACCGACACATACTCATCGCTGCCCTTCATTATTCGCACTACCCATTTTGAAAAGCAGCAGCATGAGAACAGATATTAAGGAACGGTAGATAACTGGAAAAATGACCAACGCTACTGAAATGGGCTAAAAAGCTAAAAAAAAAAAAAAAGAAAAAGAGGAAATTCTTCCTGAGCAACAGCAAGACTCCAAAAGAGCATATTACTAAGAAGCCCAAAGGAAAATGAAATTATTTCAGCTTTTTTGTTACAAAGGACACCTTCCAATTGTGATACCAGTGGGCAGAATGTTCAACTTCCCAGCTTTAAATAACTTTAGTTAAATTAGTGGGTTCTGCAGGACAGTCACCTGGATCTAAGGAACTGTACTGCTGATGTGTTTAACCTTCTGGGCAGCAAACACTTAATTGCCAAAAAAGATATATATATAAATATATAATATAAATAGGTATATATTATATATATCTTGATGTCTCCTGTACTGTATATTACTTATGAAAACCAGGAAACCATGTAGGTGTTTGAGCTTCTAATGGAAGAGATGTCAAAGGAATGAAGCGCTAATGGCTTGTTATGGGGATGCTTTCCAGTGCAAGAGCAAGCACACCTGACAGCAACAAAAGAAGCAATATTAATTCCAGGAGGAACTCTTCTCCCACGAAGCAGTAATTTTCACTTTTATGCTCCCCTGAACCAGCTTGTTTTAGTAGTGTGGGAATGCTGTTACAGAAATGTCTTTTTTTTTTAAATGATAGAAGTTCTTCACTCATCTTTTTCCCAGCCCAGAACAGAAAGATGGTCCAAAATTGATGTCTCCCTACACCTGTCCACCAAGCATCAGCCTTACAAGGATAAGCGAGCCTCAAAAAACCACCCCCACACCAGGAAGGTGAAGAAAGGTTTCTTTCTCCACTAGCAGAAGTTCCCCTGAGCGCCTGTAGTGCTATTAAGATGTCAGAAGAGCCATGCCCACACCTTCTAGCAGATAAAGACGTGCGGGGGTGGATGCCAGGGCTCTTTTTGGCAGGACATTTCTTACTGCCTCTTCCAGAATTCCCCTCCCAGCTGCCACCCCCAGCATCGCCCTTGCTGGCCACCACAGGCAGCGTTTTAAAAGCACAGCTGAACGGGGCCACATCTGAGTCTCTGCGCAACTTAAAGGCTGCCCCTCTAACGAGCTCAAGGTCACCACTTTCTGCTGTTGGTTTGTGCAGTACCAGCGACGTGCGCAGCAGCGCTGCAGAGACAAACATTAAGGCCATCCACACAGCTGCAAAGCTGCATTTTACACTAGGCCTTAAGTAAGGGAGACTCTAAAGCTTCTGTGAGCTGCAGCTGCAGAAGAAACGGAGCGACCTGACCCCAGCATGGTGGGGCTGTCCTGTCTCCACGGAGGGAGACACTCAAGTGCACTGGGGCAGCACACTGAACAGAACTCACCAAAACCACCAGCAGCGGCAGAGCTCGACCTTGCTCAGCTCTGGGTCCTCCGTAGCATGCTTGCCCAGTCTCAGCCTCCTTTACGTGCAGGCGTGTGCACGCTCACACGCGTCGGAAAAGTTAATAAACCTAAGAGCACAATCTTGGTGCCTCCTCTGAAAGAAAAGCTCTGAAACTACCACTCTTAGGCTTTTATAAGTTTATAAACTGAATGAGCTATTTGCTTGCAGCGAATCAGAAACCCAGCCAAAGACTAATTATGCCAGGCATTATTTAAATATAGTACTGCACCAAAACCAATTACGCAATACTGAAATCAAACAAAATAAACCCTAAAAATGGAGAAACGCTACAGAAACCGCTGAGTTATTTCACAGACCATGCTGAAGTAATGCCCAAGCACATAAGAATTTTTGTTCTTTGTCAAAGTTCCCATTAAGTTTATTTCTGTTGATAGCTGCTAACCGTATTCCAGTGACTCCTGGAAACACAGCTCCTGTTTGCATTGACCTGTGTCACTGACAGCTGCAGCCCAGCCAGGGCGCTCGCTTGGTGTCTCTGTGCATTTGTGGCTTTCATCCCAGCGCCTCCCAAGCACTTACTGCTCTGCTTCTAGCTGGGACCTCTTGGGTGCCTGTGTATTTTCACCAAAGGGCCCCCAAATTCTTGAATTTACTTCCTTTTTAGTCCATAGTCTTTCATTTGCATTCAGGACATGCAACCAACACTGTCTTCATGCTCGTATAGCCCCCAACTTAATCTTGAACTCTTTATCAGATCATGATTTGTTTTATTAGTAGTAAAGTTGTTCAGAGCAACAATGATTTTCGTCTGTGGGGTCTTCTAACAGTTTTTATTTTTAGATCTGCACATAAATACTGCAGGATTCACAAAATACTAAATAATCAACAAGTATGCAAGCTTCCGTGACTGTTTCATAACACACGTAAGATAAACAAACACCGGCCAAAAAACGAACACACACTGCTGATAACCTGGCAAGTTTTTACTCCTCTATAGTGAGGCCAGGAGAGGTGACCTACGGATTTTCCAGACCACGGAAATTCTCCTCTGTTCAAGGTTATTCGCATTTGATTTCCATGGCAGACAATCCATAGGCACATATCCTACGGACTCCTGCAACTTGTAATGAAAACTGCCGATGGCTCCATCCTGGGCCAGCGCGAGCCGCTTTGCTGTTCGCTGTCCAGCTGAGCCAAGCCAGGACGCAGCGAGCACGCAGCCGTGCTGCTCTGCCTGCACACGCTGCCTCTGCCTCCCAAAGCAGCACCGCAGCGCCTGGCCCCAGGTCAGCGCATGCAGCCACCGCTCCGCACGCCCCCGCAACACGCAGAACCCGGCTACAAGATCTTCCTTACGAGAAGGAAACAAAACGGTGGAAAAGGGGATGTTTCTCCCGCAAACTTCTTACCACAAGAACAAAAGAGGCCGTTTTCCAGCGAGCAGCGATTAAACAAAGCCAGAGTCACAGCTGCTGATCTCTGAGCAGATAGAGGAGGCTACGTGGGCAGCTGTGGTGAGAGGGCAGGAAGGGCGGGCGAGGAGATGCTCTCCAGCCCCAAGGAGATGCTCTCGGCCCCGTGTGAACGCGCACACATCTCCGCCTCCCTCCATTCCACCAGAGCGGGAAGCCTCTGAGGTTTCTGCAGTGCAGATTCCTTAACATTTTTGCATATTTTTTCCATACTAAAGCCCTCACCTCTGGTTAGGGTGACTCCTTAAATACAGGCTTGCACTTAGGCAACCCTTCTTCTTCCTGAGACCTCACACCCACCTCCTTTGGCTCTCTTTCCTTACTCTGTCCTTATTCTTCTTCCTGCTTTGGCCTCCTCCTCTCCCACCTCTGACAGACGGCTCTGAGCCAATTGCCTTCTAGTTTTTGTTCACTATAGTGTGTTTTTATCACCCAGGTCCTCGTTTCCTCCCTCCTTCTCCTGAAGGCTTCATGCTCTTTCTAGGAGGGAGCTGCCTCTCCAGCGAACCGCTGCATATCCGCCTGTGCGCTAGGATCTGCTCCAAGAACAGCTAGAGAAAGGTGAAAAGCGGCTAGGACTAGCGAACTCTTGCCTGATCTCAAGGTCACTGGACCTCAGTGCAGCATTTACAACCACTGCTAGAGAAAACAAGGATGAGAACAGGCTATAAAATTTGTGCCAAGGTGGACAGGTTGTGGAGCAGCCTCGTGAACCCCCACGACACTAACAGACATTGGACAATGCCAAAATACCTCAAGGTTTCTCCTTGAGGGAGAAGGGGGAAGGAGGTGAGGGGGAAAGAGAGGATATCCAGACCTCGTCATCCAGGATGTCGCAAGCCAGGCGGATGCGGGACACGTCAACAAGATGGGGCTCAGCTTTCAGCTTGCTGGAACGGAGGCTCCACAGCTTCACGCAGGAGTTGTCAAAGCCGGCAGCAAGCAGCTTGCTGTTGGGCGAGATCTCCGCCGTGTTCAGCAGCTGCTCGGTGTTGTAGAAGGCATAGAAACAGATGGTGGTGAGGGAAGGGGGCCCGTCCTTGACGCGCTTGATGCTGTCCTGCAGCAGCTCGAGGGCCGCCTCGTTCTGCAGGATGGCGGCCGGCACGTCGCCGGGCTCCAGGCCGTTGCTGTCGCCGCGCGAGGAGCTCCCGCCGGCGTAGAGCTGGTAGTCGGTCCTCTTGGCGGGCTGCACGTCCAGGTGGATGTGCAGGGTCAGCACTTTGCACAGCGCGTTGTTGTTGTCACTTTGGAGGTAGCGAAGAAGGTAGTTGTAGCTGTCCTCTTGAAGGCGGATGACGTACTTGTTGTCCAGAAAAGCTCGGAGCTTCAGGTTGGACAGGATATCTTGGATCGTCATGGTGGTCTGCAGCTGCTCGATGATATCCTTCTGGCTGGCGTTCTGCAGGAACATGCCATGGAAGCGGCTGTAAAAACTGTCCACTGTGCTTTTTAGGCCATTCTGGACCATGTTCAGATGGAGGTAGACAAAGAGGGGATACAGAAGAGGCATCACTTCATGGCTGTGCTGAGAATCTGAATCTACATTTAAAAAAAGAAAAAAAAAACAACAGCAATGAATATTAGATGATTTCTCAATCCACTTTCTACTTGGAATAAAACAGAGCAAGGACAATTTCTGTGAAAAACACTCGACAGCAGCACAGGAGGGCAAGTCCCTGGGGACTTTTGCTGGTGCATATAAATGAATCCTCGTTGCCACATAAAGGGGACACGCAGTATCTATTACAGATTTGAACTGAGATTTTCCAAGGCAGTAAAGCATACTGCCAGAATAAAAAGGGACAGATTTCAAAAATCTTTTCAGGTGCATTCAGGTATTAAAATACTACCACAAACACTAGATGAGAGACAGACATCTTTCTCTTAAATATTTAGAATGATTAAAAAAACCCCTCAGCACTCATTTTATTGCAATAAATGGTCTCTAAAATTTATTACATTAAAAACAGTATTTAAGAATCACTTATAAGCCAAAATTATTTACAGAGGTTATTTGGGCCTTAACTTTGGTGGCTTTTTCTCAGCTTCAATAAAATTTGTATTCAGTGCCTTTATATGCATGGAATTGACTACTCCCTGGAGGAAAGGAAGCTACAAACAGTCCTGAAATCGCGCTGTGATCTGCTGTGCTCCTGTTTTATTTCTGCGCCGGTGTGTGCGCTCGCTCTCGCCCTCTCTCCCCGTGTCAAGGCAAATCCCAGCAGCAATTCCGAGCACACGGCATAAGGGGCTCCCGCCTGGGCTCTGCTGGGACTGATCCGTGCAAGCCAGGCAGCTTCCTGGGGCTGCTTCCCTCTGGCGCTCTTTTCCCTGTTATGTTAGTGTGTGCACCAGGAACGATGTCCCTCCAGAAATGCAACGAGGGAGAGGGCCTCACCTTGCAGAGCGAGGAGAGGGAAGGGATGGCAGAGATGGGAATGGAAAAAGGGGTTCCCAAGAATATATGGGAAGTAGGTAATGGATTGGAGCTGGGTTTGTTAAACCTGAAGACAACCAAAGCGGGCGGGAGGTTAAACTACATAATGGGATGTTATAGAAGAAACAGATCCCATCTCTTCTGGGAGATGCACAGGGAAAGGACTAAAGGCAAGCTGCAGCTAGGGAAATGCTCCCCACTTGTTCATCCCCGCTGAAACCCAGAGCTACAGGAGAATCTCCATGATTTTTAATTTTCAAAACCTGGCCCTGAGCAACCTGATCCAACTTTGAAGTTGGCCTTGCTTTGAGCAGGAGACTGAACTAGAGACCTCTAGAAAAATCCTAAATTATTCAATGAGTTTAGCCCATTGCCCATTCTTCAGTGCTCCCATAGGCCGACATCAGAAAAAGTGTCTCCTGGCTGGCTAGGAAGTTACATACATGAACTGCTTGTGTTTCTGCAACAGAATAGGAAATCAACACTGAACACAAGTGACAAAGAAATTAAACAGTTGACATTAATGCTTCAAAAGATTGCTAGCATGACACCTACAGGTCTGGAGCAGTGGAATGCTAATAAACCATATGCAGCACTTTCCATATTGGTATTCAAGCCACTGAAGAGGATAGTTCTGTTTCTCAAAACACTAAGCCATAAACACTACTAAACTCACCTTCCAACTCTGCAATGCAGTAGTATTAAACTGCTCGAGATGGCAAGGCTAAGACTTAACTATTTTCTCCCTCCCTCTCCTTTCTAACACTGTCAAGAATATTAGTGTTAGGATTATACACACCAGGAACAAATTCCTACACTGGACAAACACAGACATGCCGAAAGGTGGAAAGAAGGTACTGCCATTTCCTGTGCTGTTACCCTCTAAGTGTGATCTGCTTTCTCTTCCTCACCTTTGGGACTAGTAGTAAATATAAGGCCACTTACAACTGGGCAATTCTTTTAAGCTAGTAGAGATAAACCTATGGGAAACAAATTCTTCTGTAAAAAGGCTTGACCATCAGAAAAATAAGGCAGTTAACATAATTCACAAACCTAAACTGAAAGACAGCAGCGAACTACACTGATTCCCAAGTTAACTGCTGTATCAGAAAAAGATAAATAATTCTTTCTAACTGAAGTAAATGAAACTTCATAGCTAGAAATCAAAAGATTCAGTTGAAAAAGTTTTATTATAGAATCCTTATTCTTTGTTCAGCTACTTCCCTCTGTCTTTCTGCTACTTACCTGTGAGAAAATTGCGTAATCGCCCAAATTGTACTTCATATTGCTGAGGCTCTGCCAGGCAGGGGGCTGCAGACACAACGTTGGCACAACCAGATTCAGATTGGACTGTGGAGAGAGGAAAAAAATATTAAGGCGTTCTTGCATGCATGTCTGCAAACACCAGATTCTCATAAAATCCAGAGCAATGCAGCTACCAAGACGACATTTAATCTTCCTATTTGTCTGGAAAGGACACCGTCTGAAGCATCTAAGTAGGGCATTCCTTAAATCCAAAATGTCACACCACGGATCATGAACCAAGAACTATATTGGAAGATTTTTTAAAAAGTTCAGGAACTCACCAGCTCACCCCAGAACACACCACGAGGCTTTCAGAGAGGGCTCTGCGTGCCCCAGAAACACCGGGGGCAACACTGCGACAAGCCCCTTCAGTGCGTTAAAAGGCAACTGACAGTTTTACAACGTGGCACTGGGGAAGATGAGGGAGATGAGCTGCAGCTCTCCTCAAACAACGTTTCCCTTCAGCTGGAGCCAGCACAGACCACAGTGCACTCACAGGCAACAGCAGGTCTGCAGGGACCCCACCGCACAGCCCCGATCCCCCGTGCCCAGCGATGGATATCGATCATCGCCGACTCCCTTTACGATTGCGGTGGAAAAACAAAACAAAACAAAACACTATAGCAAATACTTGCTGTTTTTTAATCAAAATGTGCCCTGCTGCGGGGAATTTTTAGGTTGAAGAACAGCTGGTCCATACACTGGCATTACCTTTTTATGGCCTAAACGACGCAAAAAAGAGTATCTTGCAGTTGGGGGTTAGAGCTCCTCTAATGGTTACCAGAGACAGTATCAATGGGATTTTCAAACAGTGAGTGTTATCTCGGCAAAGGCAGTTCTGAAACACTCGAGAAGGGAATGAGCTCTTCTTCCTGGAGCCAAACCTGGGCTCTTGCACCAGCCCCTCGGATCCCAACGAGGGCTGAGAGCCGATTTACAGGCAGCCACCGATGCCTCGGAGCATGTGGAAATGCTGGTGATTAAGACCATAAGGAACAAAACCCACACTTCTAAATTCTGACTCGTGTGTTAAATAAACCGTGTGCTCCTCTGAGAAGAGCAGGACAAGGCGAGCAGTTTCGCTCGTCTTCCTTTTACTTCTTTTTCTGCACTTCATAGCTATTCTACAAAAAGTACTTCCAATATTCCTGCTTTCCGCTCCCACAACTTCTCTCCCCATCCTCCTCGCCCTTAACCACGCTCTCCTTTTCTTTCCAGCCCCGACCGCTCGCCTTTCGCTCCCGCGCACGGCTCGCACAGGGAGGCAGAGCTCCGGCAGCCCTGCGAGCCCCGCGCAGAGCCCCGCGCAGAACCGGGACAGTCGCTCTCCAAGGAGAGCCCAGCCCAGCTGCAGAACCAGGGCTGGGCTGCTCTGTTCCCCTGGGAAACCCACGCAGACCCCGGCGCCCGGCCCCGGCTGCTCTCCACGCGGTTTGGAAACAAACACACACAACCTGCTGGAAGGTGCAGACAGGCTGCGCTTGCTGCAGCCTGCCTCAAAGCCGGGGGCGACTGCCGGCTCGAGGTTTTCACTAAGGCTCAGGGCATTTTTTAATATTTCTGTGAGGCAATCTACTGGTATTACCCGACACCTATAAATTCAAGCATCTGTGCTACTATTTGGGCTTAGAATTTAACAGAGTCAAGGCTCAGTATCAAAAAGCAAACTTGGCACGCGCACGCGCACAAAGCAGCTCGAAAGCAGCCAGCAGTGGTTTTCGGCACCATCCACACTGCTCATCCACCCAGCAGAGGCCACCGAAAAATGCCAGCGCCAAGGCTGCCTCTTACGCTGCACGCCACATTTACACCCAGGGGCAGCTCTACACAGACTTCTGGTAGCTCCACCTCAGCAGCAACGGGAGCAATTTGCCATCTTGCTCGTGCCACAGAAGCGTAACCTACTGGCCATAACCTCTATCCAGTGTGCCCTTGCACACCACCTACGTGTTTTTATCCACAAGTAACTTAATTCCAAAATTAAAAGGTATCTCACACCTTTGACTACTAATCCTGCAGCAGTCTGCTTACAAGTCATCATGTCCTGCTTTTAGTAATGGTGCCAGAGCAAAAACAATACCTATACACCAGTAAGTTACAACAAGTTCAAACTCTATTTTTTCTCTTCCCTAAAATTACGCAACAACCAAAACTGGTAAATGAATCAGGAGCTTACGTGATCCCAAAACAAGGCAAGTTTTCAGGAATATTTCTGTCCTGTTTGAAATATAAATAAATAAAATCTACTAAATCTACTACAAACAGTTACTTTCCCCCTCTCCCCAGTGCTCACAAGAACCTTTACTGGAAACATCTGTTGCTTGACTTCACTTCCTGCAGTCACAGCTGCTTTTGTGTCCTGACAGCAAATGGAAAGGAAGCGGCTCGGGCATGTGGACAGGACCCCTTTGGTGTCCTGCCCTGGCCAGCAGCAGCCTCACTTCCAGCTAAAACACGGGGCTGCTCTTTCACAGCACCCAATTCCTCCTGTCTGTGGGTTTGGTGATGCGCGAGTCTACACTGTTTCAGCTAGTGGGATCCGTTAATAGGAAGCTACAGACAGCAGCATTACTGGAGTAATAACGGTAATGGGAAAAGCCCGTCCTCTAGTCACTTATTGTGTCCTAAAACACTCTTTTAACTCTTTAGAGAAATACAGAGCCATCAAGAGGAAGCTCTGCGCTTTATTTCAGTAACAGATACTGCAGAAAGCAGAGCTGTGCAAACACACAGCAAGTACACGAAGCAATCATAGAATCATAGAATGCTCAAGGTTGGAAGGGACCTCTACAGATCATCTAGTCCAACCCCTCTGCACACACAGGGTCACCCAAAGCACGTGGCACAGGACTGCGTCCAAGCGGGTTTGGAAGATCTCCAGAGAAGGAGACTCCACAACCTCTTCGGGCAGCCTGTTCCAGTGCTCTGTCACCCTCACTGTTAAGAAATGGAGTGGAGAGTCTCTGAAAGAAGACATCAGAAACACCAATGCGGGACCAAGGACCAGAACAATTTAAAAAGCAAAAACAGAGGACACTTTTCACTTTGAAAGAAGCAAACACAGAACGGGAGAAAGAGTAAGTGATCCTCTCATTTAGAATTTAGACCAACTTAGAACATTACAAACAAGAGAAAAATAGCTTAACTGAAAAAGCAAGGTGAGTTTTGTGAAGAAACAAGCAAAAGCATCTTTAGAAAAATATATTTTATCGCTTTACCTGAAAAAAAAAAAAAGTAAACTTTCAAATCTGGTCAGTTCTTATTCAAGACCAGGATGAACATAGCAGAACTTTCAAACTCTGCTGTCGGGATAAGTCCAAGTCGGGTTTTTCTCAGGTGAACAGTCCCTCAGGGAACTGCAGTGGACTCACTGACAGCTTACTACAAGTATGTTTGAAATGAAGTAGTAGTATCCAGTTGAACACAAGACACCCAACTATGCTCAGTTCTAATGAGAACTGATGACTAAGTTCTGAATCACCAGCCACAAAACTCTTGCACTGGCAAGAGGACACGAACTCATGGCAAGAAATCTGGTACTAACATCTGGCAGAGGATGAGTAAAAATACAAAAACCCAAACACACATGCATTCACACTCTTCACTGAAATAAAGTTTTCTGTATGACGCCACATGCAAATGCAACGGCTCACAACCCAGTTCAACTTAGGTACCCTGAAAAGCTCCCGATACCGACTGCTCCCTACTCCTGCTCTCACCGCAGCACTGACCTTTCCACCCACCACTCCCCTTGAGCCTCCCATCAAAAGCAATTCACCGTTTTACTTCAGTTTCATTCCCCTCGCCCCCAACTGCAGTATTTCTTCAGAGTCCAATAGTTACTCTGAAAACAAGGAAATGAAAAGTAAAAACAAGGTGCGAGTATACTCTCAATAATCGCCTCTGATAAATATTTAACCCAACTTTTCAGAACTAAAAGAAACTAAACTAAAATAACCAATCTAGACATTTATCCAGAAATCGTTTATCATTTGAGGGTAAAAAAGGCCAAAACTACTCTAGAAAGACCCATTTCACCAGCCAGTCTTACTTAGCTACAAGCATGGAGCACTCAACAGCTAACGTCAAATCAAACTGTAGCACAAGTAAACAAGGTCTCTGACACTCTTAGCCTGAGGTGCCATCACAATCCAAATGCTTCCATAAACAGAAAATACTTCTTTCTCCTGTTTTCACCCAAAGCTCAGCCTAGTATTTTCTCTTAGTTTTAAAAGCTACAACATCTGCATCACTTGTATCCACTCAACAGTGTTCAATATTGCTCTGATACTGCTATAGTACTTCTCATATATTAATATAGCTTGTTATAACAAAGATAATGACAAAGAAAATTGTCACAGGCATAACTTGAAAAAGCAGGCAGCATAACAGCATCTGGAATTCTTTGAGAAAGAATAAAAGGGCACACAGGGAAACAAACTGTCTCATCCATTGAAGAGTATTTTCAAGTGATATGGAGCTTTCCAAGCTGGGAAATTTATTAGGTCAGGGAAGGAAACGGCCTCTGTTACTTTTGTTTCACATGACACAGTCCTCCCAAAGTAGGAATGTACACTGGATTATCCTCCTTCTACCTAACTTCTACCTAGTTTTTTTCTCGTCTCCCTCCCAGCACCACTATTAGACTTTATGTTCTTGAGGATACAGCACGTGCATTTTTAACTATCCGACCTGACTTTTCAGCCTGCTTTTATAATGACCATGCATCTTATTTTGCTATATTTCATCCATATTTTCATTCTCTGAAAGCTCATAATTCACAACAACTTAACACTGCAAAAATTCTCCATTTCTGAAGGAAAGAAACTGATACATAGAGATACACTCAATTAGTATAGATACTTACACTCACCTTGTTGCTGTCAAGAAGAGTGCAAGGAAAATATTAGGATTACCTGTGAGGTTAGCTGCCATCTCTTCAGCAGTCTGACACAGCCTCAGCCCTTGTTTTAAGGGACCTTCTGAGTCCACATACTGACGGCGTTTGAGGTAGCAGGACACTGCCATCTGAATCTGTTCTGTGCGTACGCGTTTCATGACCTTAAAGGAAAAGGAAAAGATGATGGGGCACGTGTAGGTATACCCTAAAACAAATATAAGAGCGTAGCTGTATTAACACCGATAGAAAACAAATGGCTCAGCATTTCCGTTGCTGAAGTTCAACAGTGACAAGTTACTTCATTACTGAAGTATGAATTGAGGCCATTAAGCATTTGCCTTTAAGTTCTCCAGCCTAACTTGGCCCTTTGAACTGGATCCTTGCAGGTATTTTACTGTCCAATTCCATTAATTTCACTGAAAAATCAAACACACTTTTGAAGATTCTGAACTAAGAGCGTAAGAGAAAACCACAGCTGGAAACTGACATGTTTGTTTCTGATAAAAACAACCCATAAAAAGATGGTACTTTTCCTGCTTTTTTACTTTAGCAGTTAGGTTTTTCTTCAGCCACTTTTTGGTTCTTCTCCTTGGACAACCAAGAAAATGATACCATAAGAGAGCAGCTTACTTTCAGCCTCAGGCTTGTAACGAAAAAACATCAGTAAGATGAGTGCAAAGCTCCCTTGCTATTCCAATAGTCCCAAGCTGCCACCAATCCTTGGGCAATAGCCATTGATTCTAGACAGAAACTCAGATAACCCAAAAGGTTTTATTTAAAATAGGGCTAAACATCATTTTCATACTGCTGGAAGAATAACACAAAAAGCACAGGGTGCCTCAAGACAGTTCTGCACCTCACAGACCCACTGTCAGAGACCTCTGAATATTTACAAGTGCACACTGCTCTGTGGGTGAGGGGCCACATCCAACGAAGCACAACTGTTTCACAGAGACAGATAAGGATGCCCTTTTACCCTCTATTTTAAGAATCTTGCTTTAGCAAAATGACAACTTCAAAAATATGACTGAGCTTTTCCCAATGCCCATGCACACTTTGCTGCTTGTACGGATGCTTGGAACAATAAGCTCTCTGTGAGGTTGCAAGCAGATGGGGATGCAAAGTTTTAGCAAAAGTTGCTTTGAAAGAAAATATGCGGAGCTGGAAACCCACATGCGCTCTGGGGAAAACCTTGAAAAGGTTTCCATTTGTTCTCACAGGCAAAATAATTGCTGAGGGTGGGGAAGGGGGATCAACAGGTATGGGGTTTTCAAAGCTTTTCCAGATAGACATGTTAAAATCATGAGCTTCAACCACAACTTTTTCTACTCCAAAAGCAAACTTCCTTTTAATCTTCCTGGCAATTAGAGAAATTATGTTAACTTACTCTGTCTCAAATGTAACACTTTTTATGTTGCACAGGACTGCAGGAAAGCCAGAACTCACGAAGTCCACAAAAAGGAGTGAGTGGTCATAGGGAATTCCAGCATCTTAACACCCTCATGAGAATAAATAAATGTGATAATAAAAGACATCTTAGTTAAGCTTCACAACATACTACGCTGCCTTTCTGCATTTTAGATAGCGGTATGCACTACATGTCCTTGCTCAGGTCCACACTAGCATCTTTGTAAGCAGCTTGTCGTACAAGCTGAGGTTAGCAACTTAAGTGTGATGCTTTCACAGATTTCAGGGCGAGAAACTGATTTTGAGAGTTTGCAATTAGATCATTACATGCGACTTGCAATCCAAAAGAAACTCACTCCCAAAATGGCACTGAACAGACCCAGCGGGATGTTCCTGAAGTGGCCTAGCCAGCCAAAACCGTGTGCGAATCAGCGTCAGGTCTGTGGCTCACAAAGTGAGTCTAGAAACACTCTCACCTGTACCTCTTGCTGAAGTTAGAGCATCAAGCGGTGCTAGGTTAGATTCAGCGAGCAAACCCTTCTTTGTTGGGGCACAGCAATGCACACACAGATAATTCCTCATAAACCTATAACGGATCAAAGACATTGAACAACTGACGTAGGAAAGATGCAGGACTCCGGGGGAGACTTTGAAACCACAGTGACAAAATACAAGGAGCCCAACCAG